ATCATACTATTAAGACAATTCTCCGAGGCGTATCATACTATTAAGACAATTCTCCGGTGCGTATCATTCTATTAAGACAATTCTCCGAGGCGTATCATACTATTAAGACAATTCTCCGAGGCGTATCATACTATTAAGACAATTCTCCGAGGCGTATCATACTATTAAGACAATTCTCCGAGGCGTATCATACTATTAAGACAATTCTCCGAGGCGTATCATTCTATTAAGACAATTCTCCGAGGCGTATCATTCTATTAAGACAATTCTCCGAGGCGTATCCTTCTATTAAGACAATTCTCCGAGGCGATCCTTCTATTAAGACAATTCTCCTTTCATGTATCCTTCTATTAAGACAATTCTCCGGCGTATCCTTCTATTAAGACAATTCTCCGAGGCGTATCCTTCTATTAAGACAATTCTCCGAGGCGTATCCTTCTATTAAGACAATTCTCCGAGGCGTATCCTTCTATTAAGACAATTCTCCGAGGCGTATCCTTCTATTAAGACACTTCTCGAGGCGTATCCTTCTATATTAAGACACTTCTCCGAGGCGTATCCTTTAGTATTAAGACACTTCTCCGAGGCGTATCCTTCTATTAAGACACTTCTCCGAGGCGTATCCTTCTATTAAGACACTTCTCCGAGGCGTATCCTTCTATTAAGACACTTCTCCAAGTTGTATCCTTCTATTAAGACACTTCTCCAAGTTGTATCCTTCTATTAAGACACTTCTCCAAGTTGTATCCTTCTATTAAGACACTTCTCCAAGTTGTATCCTTCTATTAAGACACTTCTCCAAGTTGTATCCTTCTATTAAGACAGGACCAAGTTGTATCCTTCTATTAAGACACTTCTCCAAGTTGTATCCTTCTATTAAGACACTTCTCAAGTTGTATCCTTCTATTAAGACACTTCTCCAAGTTGTATCCTTCTATTAAGACACTTCTCCAAGTTGTATCCTTCTATTAAGACACTTCTCCAAGTTGTATCCTTCTATTAAGACACTTCTCCAAGATGTATCCTTCTATTAAGACACTTCTCCGTTGTATCCTTCTATTAAGACACTTCTCCAAGTTGTATCCTTCTATTAAGACACTTCTCCAAGTTGTATCCTTCTATTAAGACACTTCTCCAAGTTGTATCCTTCTATTAAGACACTTCTCCAAGTTGTATCCTTCTATTAAGACACTTCTCCAAGTTGTATCCTTCTATTAAGACACTTCTCCAAGATGTATCCTTCTATTAAGACACTTCTCCAAGATGTATCCTTCTATTAAGACACTTCTCAAGTTGTATCCTTCTATTTAGACACTTCTCCAAGTTGTATCCTTCTATTAAGACACTTCTCCAAGTTGTATCCTTCTATTAAGACACTTCTCCAAGTTGTATCCTTCTATTAAGACACTTCTCCAAGTTGTATCCTTCTATTAAGACAGTTGTTCAAGGCAAATCATACTATTAAAAAAAAATTTCTCTGAAATGTATCATACTATTAAAATTTCTCCAAGACATATCATACTGTTAAAAAAAATCCTCGGAGTCATATCCTACTGTTAAAAAATATGTCCAAAGCATATCATATCTTTAAAAACATATTCCAATACATTTGTTTCATTTCACTTCATTCTTTACTTTTATAATCTCAAAGAGTTTTTGAATATAATTAAAGGGAAAACAGAGACGGATATGCAATATGATTGGCCCTGATCTGGCATCTCGTTCACAGTTGCTCTCTCGCAGACATGCTGTCACCTCCCTCTGTCTTTTCTACAAATACTTTCATGGTTACTGCTCCAACAAGCTACTTTCACTGGTTCCTAAACTGCATGAATTTAAACGTGATACTAGGTTCGGATCTCATTCCCACCCCTTTTACTCTGGAAATGGTTAAATGTAGCGGTCTCTTCTATTCCAATAGCTTCATGTCTCATGCACTTCCTGTCTGTGGAACGCCCTTCCTCTTACTTCTTTCTCTGATAGCTATAATTTCCAAATATTCAAATGCAATGTCAATCGACATATCCAGATGCTTTGATCTGTTATTCCCTGTCCTTCTCTTGATCCTTTCTTCTAACATGCGTATTTACTCTTACTCCCACTCTCTGTAACCCCTTGCATGCTACTGGCACCCCTGCCTTGCTTGGGGGTGAAATGCTTACAAAAAAAAAAAGAGTATAAAAACTACCCTTTATAAAATTTATATATAGTTTTAAAAACAAGGAATGTATTGATTTTAATTTTAAAAGTCCCTAGGGCCCTTTCAACCAACATCTCATCAGTTTAAAAAAGAGTGGTTTAAAATTATTCATACAGCCGATTCCAACAATCATTTGAAGATTTTGGAATTGGTCTGCATAGGATTAAGGAAACCTTCTCTCTGCCGGCAGAAAGAATTTGTAAAGTCTCTTAATCTGTTGGGGGATATTTTATTTTAACTGTCCCTCGCTAATTTATTTACACGATTATTTCCCCTCCCCTCGTTACAAATATATACACTTGTTTGTTTTTTTTTAGTGTGTTTCACCCCTCTTTTTGCTTTTCATTGTCGTTAATATTCTTTTCGTTGATCCAACGATTATCTCCTGATGAGATGTTGGTTGAAAGGGCCTTTTACAATTAAAATCAATACATTCCTTGTTTTTAAAATATATATAAATTTTGTACTTCCAAACATTTGTTTCTTTTATAAAATGAATTTTGTTTTTTTTTTAAGTTTTTTACTTGCTTGTTTGTGTAAAATCCTGATATGTAAGAATTAAACTCTAAGATCTGAGTCAATAGATTGTTTATCTAAAGTTCATCATTATTCGTCAAAATGGAAGGGAGGTTTTTTGCCTTTTGAAATCCATGAGTTTTGGCCATTGATATCCTGCTTGCAAGTACCTTATCCACTAAGCTGCCATTTGATATCTCAGTTCATTTATAGCCTTCATTAAATATTGATACCTGCAACTCATCTAATTTGCACAAACGGGTTTCAGAGACTTTGCTTCAGACTGCTTATTGATTCTATTCGTTCTGAGCAATACGCTCGACATTCATGACCTAACATTTTTTATTAACTTCCTCTCCTTTTTTTCTAACTCTGCTATATAAAAACATTAAAATATAATTTTTATATTTTTTTATATTATAGTTAAAGTGAAAATAAGCATAAAAACGATAGTTTTAGAAAATTAAGTTCCTTGTGCTTTGTTTTTTTTGTGCAAAATTTATTGTTCAATACTTTTTGGTTATCTTTGTTCGTAATGAAATTTTCCAATCTCTAAATACTTTGCTTAGTTTCTGGAAGGCATCTTTAGCTATTACAATGCATCTTTGGATTTCTGTGTCACGTTTTCCACCATCTGATTCTGTGCTAGCCATACTATTAGATTTCTGCGCTTTCTAGATTTTAACCTCCCCAGTTATATAGCATACCACTTGAATTTTCTCTCAATAACAACCATGCATTATGATAAATAGTCTCTTCTTCATGCTTTCCTTTACTGCCTTGCTTAAGAGTTCTGTCAGTTTTCTGATTTGATTGATTGGTTTTCCACAGCTTATCAAGCCTTTGGTTATTTAAAGCCAGAAAATATGTTTTAGATTGTAAGGTTTATTTTTTGTTTTTTAGATAATAATGATTTAGCAATGCAAGTTTTACTAATTAACCCATAGCTGAAGGGAGAAGAGGTGGATTCATACATAATAAAACTACTGATTAACTACACAGGCTTGTCTTAGATTTATGTCCGTTCTCTGGAATATAAATGTATAGAAACTACCGTAGCCACAAAATGAGGGAACAGTTTATATGCTGATTATACTATAGAATTGATCCCCCACTTTATATCAACAAAGAAAATCTTACAATCTAAAAATATTTTCTGGCTTTAAATAACCTATATATATAAAGCCAGATGGAGGCAGCATAAATGCTCTTTCAATAATATAAACAAAAGAAATCAGACTTCTCTATCTAAATATTTTTGGCATCTGAAGGAAACAAATAGGACACCTAAAGTAAAATGGAAAATTATAAACAGGACTAGAACATGTAAAACTTGGGATGACCCATGCCCTTTGTGCCTCCATGAGAAACTGCACATTATTAAGTTTGTAAATAATAAAAATCTATTAAACAATAGACATGAGTTAACGGTTTTTTGCCGACATCATCAAATTTTTGCATTGAATAATTAGCTTAAAAACAAACAAACAATAATATAATTTTTATAATCCATAGCCCTAATAAATAGTTTGAATACCCTACAAAAATAGATAACCCTTTATAAAGTCATCAAAAATAAGTTAAATGGCAGTTTTATATACACAAACCCCTTTCATAAAAAATAAAAAAAAAAAATAAAAAAATCTCCATAGACACGTAAACCAGACTAGGGCGAAAACATCTTCCGTTTTAAATTTAGACACCCCCACCTTACCCTGACTTGACATCTATGAATGTAACTCTATACTGATACAAATTATTAACACCCAACACCCCTTCCTATTTAAACAATCGCTCTGGCTGTTACCATCGAAATTTTGATTTCAATTATGAATATGCTATTAAAACACGTAAATTTCAGAAATAAGTTATTCCAAAAAAATTTCGCTTGAAGATGGAACAGAGCTTACTTTAATTCAATTTAATTCAAATAATTATATTGAAGTTTTCGGCTCTTGTTTTTGAAACATGAGAACTCTTATGTAGCGTGTTGGAATCATATTTTAAATAAATAATTATATTTATGCTCTACTTTTGTATCGAGCACTATTTTTAAAAAAATAATAACAAAAATACTAAAGAACTTTGGATTATTTACCTAACCAGTTCTTTCCTATTTTCTATATATTTTCACATATATATATATATAAAGTATATTGATCCATACAGATATATCTATATATATGACTCACATCTCTGATTTCTAATTCTGAGCAGTTATCCATTACAGCACCTGCCCATCCTCAGTTAGCTGTGAATTGGAGGAACTTCGGAATGTAGTTCATCAGAAAGTCAAGATAGAAACATAAAGATGGGAAAAGAGAGAAAATGGGGAAAAACAGCAAGAATTTGGAAAGTATTTAAAACCAGACAGACAATTGGACAGACAGAAATTATGAAAAAGAAGAGAGAAGTATGAAAAGAAAGAGGCAAGGAGAAAGAGAGGCAAAGGAGAAACGAGAAAGAGAGAAGTATGGAAAGAAAGAGGGAAAAGAGAGAAGTATGGAAAGAAAGAGGGAAAAGAGAGAAATGATTGGAAAGAAAGAAGGAAAGAGAAAAATGGAAAGAAAAGATTAAAAAAAGAAATTATGGAAAGAAAAGGGGAAAAGAGAGAAGTATGGAAAGAAAGAGGGAAAAAGAGAAGTTTGGAAAGAAAGAGGGAAAAGAGAAAGTATGGAAAAAAAATTTTGAAAGAGAAATATGGAAAGAAAGAGGCAAAAGAGAGAAGTTTTTCAGGCTTAGAGGGAAATTCAAAGAAGAATTTTCTTAGGCTTGAGGGAAATGAAAAGAAGTCATTTTTGAGAGGCTTAGAAGGTTTTTTTTTGAACCATGAGAGAGGTTAGATTCAAAATGAAAGAAATAAATACAGAGGCTTAAAACATGAAATGAAAAAAACCTCACTTAGAGAGGCTTATTCTAAATGAAAATAGTTTGGAGAGATTTTAGAGGGAAATGAAAGAAACATTTTGAGAAGCTTAGAGGGAAAAAAAGAAGTATGGAGAGAGGCTTAGAGGGAAATTAGAAGTAAAGAGAGGCTTAGATTAAATGAAAAGTATGGAGATAGGCTTAACACTTTTTCCAAAGAATATGGAGAGAGGCTTAGAGGGAAATGAAAGAAGTATGGAGAGAGGCTTAGAGGGAAATGAAAGAAGTATGGAGAGAGGCTTAGAGAGAAATGAAAGAAGTATGGAGAGAGGCTTAGAGAGAAATCAAAGAAACAGAAACCTAAATTCCAGAGAAGAGTTGATGAGAAAATGAGAAACAATTTGGACAAAAATAAATTAAGACCACAGAATGCACATATTGGATGAGAAAGTGAGAATGGAAGAGAAGATGAAGAAAGAGTGGTTTGTAGGTGAAAGAACCAAATTTTTTTTTTAACGAAGAGAAAAAATATGGACAGAAAAAGGAAAAGAGAGAGAGAGATGAAATAGAAGGTTTAAGATCAGGAGAGAAAATTGCATTGTAAAGTGTATTTTTAAAAATTCAAAAATCATAGAAATGGAATAGAGTTACATTTTCTGAGAGAGAGAGAAAATGGCAGAGAGAAGATGGTGAGAGAGAGAAATGGCAGAGAAAAGATGGAGAGAGAGAAAATGGCAGAAAAAGATGGAGAGAGAGAGAGAAATGATTCATAGAGAAAGATATATGAGAGATAAAATGAGAAAAGAGAAGATGATTGATATAGAGAGAGAAATGGCAGAGAGAAGATGGAGAGAGAGAGAAATGGCAGAGAGAAGATGGAGAGAGAGAAAATGGCAGAGAGAAGATGGAGAGAGAGAGAGAAAGAAAATGGGGATAAATTGGAGAGAGAGAAATGGCAGAGAGAAGATGGATTTAGAGAGAAAATGGCAGAGAGAAGATGGAGAGAGAGAGAATATGGCAGAGAAAGATGGAGAGAGAAAAAAAAGAGAGAAATTTTGAGAGAGAATGAAAGAGAAGAAATATGAGAAGAAATGGCAGAATTTCCTTGGAGAGAGAGAAATGGCAGAGAGATGGAGAGAGAGCAAAGAAAATTATGGAGAGAGAGAAATGGCAGAGAGAAGATGGAGAGAGAGAGAAAATCAACTAAAGATGGAGAGAGAGAGAAATGGCAACTTTTTAAGTATGATGAGAGAGAAAATTGAGAGAGATGAATGGAGATTCATTTGATGGTAGAGAGAAGTGTAGAGAGATTAATTGGCAGAGAAAAGAGGAGAGAGAGAGAAAAATAGCAGAGAGAAGATTGGTGATTATAGTGAAATTTCAGAGATAAGATGGGGAGAAGAGAAGAGAGTGAAATGGCAGAGAGAGAAGATGGAGAGAGAGAGAAATGGCAGAGAGAAGCTTTTTGAGATGAAATAGAGAGGTGGAAAGAGAGAGAAAATGGCAGAGAAGAAATATAGAGAGTGAAATGGCAAAGAGAAGCGTAGAGAGAGAGAGTGAAATGGTAGAGAGAAGCGTGGAGAGAGAGAGTGAAACGGCAGAGAGAAGCGTGGAGAGAGAAAGAGAGAAATGGAAGAGAAAGTGAAAGATGGAATATGTGAAAATCAGAGAGAGACAGACAGTTGGGGGAGATAATGAACAAAGAGAAATCATAGGAAAAGGGGAGAGAAAAAAAGAAAGAAACAAGGCAGAAATCAAAGAAAAATGGAGAGAGAGAGAGAAGTATGGAAAGAAAGAGGAAAGACAAAAGCCAAAGAGAAAGAGGAGAGGTAAAAGTTGGGAAAGACAGAGATAAGTTTGAAATATGGTTAAAATCCAGAAAGAAAGAAAAAATGTAAAGATATACACAGAATCAACCAATCGAAAGGGGAAAGTAAGTATGAATAAGAAACAGAAAAATGGAAAGAGACTGTAACATTGAGAGGTCGGGGAAAGGTGGGGAAAAAAGACTCCTAACATCAGGTAAGGAAGTACGCTCCTTGGAATAGAGATAGGAAAAGTGAGAAAGTGTTTATGGATTGGTAGAGAAATATATTTCCTCGCAGACAGATAGAAGAATTGAAAGGTAAATGAACATCCGACTGGACCATTTTGCTTTCATTGTGTTCCTGCTTAATCCTTTCAAATCTTGAAGCTGTGGCCAAGATGCCACTGGATAATATTGGATGCCAATGGGATTAGCTCTGCCGAGTAAAGAAAGCTTTCAAATGGACGGATAATCCTCTGTTTCATATTTGGCTTCTGCCTCGGACTGGGAGCAGGGCGCGTAGCTCAGTCGTTTGATGATTTGTGTATCTCTGTGTCCATAACTATGCTTTGAGGACAGAATAACGGAGTTACCTTAGGAGAGACGGGTTCTTTGGTCGTTTTTCCCGTGACAGGTGGTGGTGCCCAGAAAGTAAGTCTGGAGAAATGTCTTGTTGATGCAGAGGAAAGTACTGTTCTTTGAGATTGACCGACAGTGTAAGGTCATGGAGGTAAGACCTTTATTGTTCTTTAAATGCATCTAAATCTGCTCAAAGATGAAGAAAAGACTTGATGCGACAGAAATGTGGTTGTACCAACAAATGCTTAGAAAACCATGAGCGGAACATTTGAGCAACAAGGAAGTTTTAACGAAAGGAGCCGCAACATGAAAACTTTACTTACAATCAGAAAGTTAAGACAGGAAGTTGCACTGGAAGGACAAAATATATATTTAGGAAACTAAGCAAAGTATTAAGACATTAAAAAAGACCTTTTCTATTTTAATGACTCTCCAACTATCTAATCACCGATATGGCAGTGAATGCAGAACAATCTCTTCAAAAATGTAAAGAAGATTTAAAACAATAATAAAGAGACATTACATTATTCAGACTATTGTCCTCATCTTTGTTGCCATATTTATTACAACATTTCGGCTGTTGTTGCCTGTGAGTTCAATACCTGGTAAAAGCAGTGGAGAACTTTCAGAGGGAAATTAACAGGAGATAACTGATAACTGGCATCCATTAAACATGACATGTGGAACTAGAAAAGTGAGCGAAATAAAGGGTTAAGCTCAACATTCCAACCACCTGAAGAAGGCCGGAGCATACAACGGCCGAAACGTTGTAATAAATATGGTGACAAAGATGAGGACAATAGTCCGAATAATGTAAATAATGTACATAATACCTCATCTCAGAAATATAAACAGATACTGAAAGGCTGAAACGTTGTGATAAATATGGCGACAAAGATGAGAACAATAGTCTGAATAATGTAAATAATACCTCATCTCACAAATATAGACAGATACTTAAAGGCCGAAACGTAATAAATATGGCAACAAAGATGAGGACAATAGTCTGAATAATGTAAATAATGTACATAATACCTCATCTCAGAAATATAGACAGATACCAAATATAGAGAATACAACGGAGTGAGCATGCGCGTAATGGAAAAGTCTTAAGTGGAAGTGGAGCTCTGAGGAAACGACTGCTAACAACCATAAAGAGATCAGCATGATTTATTGGACATGTAATGAGAAAAGAAGGCCTAGCAAACTTAACAGTCACAGGACATTGAAAGCAAGAAAAGCTGGAGAAACATTGAATGATTTGCTTTTTACAGATTATCGACCCTTTTCAGGTTATTTAAAGCCGAAATATATTTTAAATAGCTGGACGTTGCTTACAGTACCCAGTATCCCCACAACAGCCCCCCTTAAGTCTTACTAATTAACCGATAGCTGGGTGGAGAGAAGGGTAAGATTGATACCTAATCAGAATTTGATAAACAAGAACTTATAAGGTGGATATAAAGTGGGGGATCAATTCTATATTACAATCATTATATAAGCTGATCCCTCACTTTGTATTTATATTCCAGAGAATGTAAATAAATCTAAAAGACATGCCTGTGTAGCTAATCAGTATTTCATTGATTGATTCATTTCTTATGGCTTATCAACCCTTTGCAGGTTATTTAAAGCCAGAAAATATTTTTAGATTGTAAGATTTTTTTTGGAGATAATAATGTTGATATAAAGTGGGGGATCAATTCTATAGTGTAATCAGCATATAAATTGATCCCTCACTTTGTGGCCACGGTAGTTTCTATACATTTATTTGCAGGTTATTTAAAGCCAGAAAATATTTTTAGGTTGTAAGAAGTTTTTATTTATTTACTTATTTTTTTGAGATAATAATGATTTACGGATACAACTATTACCAATTAACCCATAGCTGGAGGGGCAGAAGTTGTGGATTCGTACCTTGCCCAAGGCTATTTGCATGTAAGTGAATTTAGTGAACCCAACTGGGATTAGAACTCGGTTCTTCAATTAACATTTCTGAGCCATTATCCATTACACCACCCACACATTCAAGCTTACAGGTCATCCATATAGGCAAGCTCAACATTTTACTGCTTATTGCTTAACTGCTTTTATTACTTAACTTCGGTAATTGTGTATATATTTTAAATTGCTGGAGGTCGCTTAAAGTACCCCGTATGCCTACAACAGCCTCACATCTAATTACTGATTGGGCTCGATACTGCTTAACTTAAGTTGAAACACCTGTTCCTGTACAATCACTGAAGTTAAGCATCACTGTGCCTGGTCAATACTTAGAGGGGAATACCAGGTTCTACAAACTTTGGACGTGCCGGTGATGCAATCTATAATGGCTCAGAATTGATCAAACTAGAGCCTGCATTTCCACTGCGAGTTAACTGTAAGCACAATATACAGGAATGTATAGGAACAGAATTAGATAGACAGATAGGTAGATATGTTGAAGTTAAAACAGAGACATAGATATGAACCAACTGTGATAGATATGAAGAGATTTACAACGATAAATATTTGATTGATTCATTCATTTTTGATAGATGATCGATCCTTTGTGGCTTATATTTAAAGTTGAAGCATACTTCCGATTGTGGGAGGTTGTTAAAATACACAATACTCCCAAACTGTACTGACGACAGTTGACATTGCTTAACCAATGTTTTCAGCACAATTTGGCTGTAAGTGAAGGAGAAACAGCCAGGAATGTAATTGACAGGTTTGTGAGAGTAGATAGCCAAATAAGAGCGCAGAGTGGGAGTAAAGGTACAAAAATGACTGAGAGTAAGTAAAAATAGGAAGTTGTAGAGAGCTATGACCACACACATCCTAAAAGGATGAGGTATTTTTTTTTATTGCTTTGTTGGTTTTAATTTGCGAATGACTTACTTTGGATCTCAATTTTGTAGACCTTTTCAAAGGGTCCTTCGTTACAATTGTTTCTTGCTTATCTCATGACAAAAGCATTGGCAGCCATCATTTATATAGTTTTCTTCCCATGTGTAATCCATAAAGAAAGATACTTGTTTTTCAGTTATTCATTTGTTTTGTCAGTTAAAATTATAGTGATAGCCCAGTGGTAATATATATAATTTATATGAGTCATTATCATTCCAAGAGTTCTTCAGACTATTGAACTCATTCTTTGTATTGCTTTTGTTGTTACCACAATGTTTCAGTCAATCCATTCTATGTCTACCTTCTATAATTGTGAGAAGAGTCATTATCATTCCAAGAGTTGTCCAGACTATTAAACTCATTCTTTGTATTGCTTTTGTTGTTACCAAAATGTTACAGTCAATCCATTCTATGTCTACCTTCTATAATTTTGAGAAGGGTCATTATCATTCCAAGAGTTCTTCAGACTACTGAACACATTGTGTAGCTTTTTTCTTACCTCAGTGACCTATAATTTTGAGAAAAGTCATTATTATTTTTCAGATTTGTTATATATATATCATATATATATATATATATATATATGTATATGACTGGGAACTTGTTTTCCCACCACACTCATCTGCTAAAGTGGCCACCCCATCCCTATTGTGAAGACACCCACAAAGGCACAGTTGTGTTTATTCACCACTTAAAGAACTCACCTGCACTTCATATGCATCTATGCTGAGCAGTCTGTAGTTCAAGTTTTTGGTAGAGAGCTCATAAACTGGTGTCATCAACTTTTTTTTTTTTTTTTAACAAAGCCAGTATGCTCCAACCATTGGTCATGATGACTTGTAACTTTGTGCTTGCTTCCAGTCAGTTCTGTGTACTTAATTTCACACACATGGCTTGGAACAACCTATTGTTTGGTTTTCAGGCACAAGTGTCACACACTGGTGATTACCTCCGCAAACTGATAATATCAAGTCACCTTCCAGACCCATCAGCCATGATGTGATA